AAGAAATCTTTCGGATTGAAGTGATTCGTAGTCTAAGAACTAGGATACGAAGTTACTGTTATTGAGAATTGTTGGAATCAGGATGAGGGAATTCGTAAGAAAAGACATCATTTTTAAATCGTAATCTAAGACTGGTGAGTTAAGTGGGATTCGAGAGAAAACGACCTTATCCATTCTTCAGGGATAAATATAGTATTTTATCTTGACTTTACGGATTTTCAATTGGAGTCCAAAAATTGATGACTGTGTTTAAGAAAGATGGCAGTGGAATTAAAGAACGAAGGAGGGTTGCCACAATATTTCATTTAGGAGACAATTTGAGGAAAGGGTCGGATCCTATCGAAATCCATGCGTCCACCCCAATTCCCACATGCGTTTTGAATCGTTAATTAAAATTAGGCTTTCATGAAGAAATTTTAATTATTCGTATAAGAAGAAAATGACCTCAGATACTGAGCCTTATCAGATATTATACAGCCCTGTCTTAACTTTTGTTTGTTACAGCTATCAAAAATATAACAAAAGTATCAAAAGTTTTAGATCTTAACGCATTTCACAGAACTTTTCGTAGTCATAAATAATCTAGGATTCTTTTTGAGATTTTGACTCAGCGTGAGGAAGAGTGATGCATTCGTTATTGTTGATGAACGGGAAATGTATAACTAACCAACCATGTTGAAAACGCATCGCATAACCGAGGCAACACATCCCTTCCCATTATTTAAGCACAATCAATAAAAAAGCTTTTATCACACTTCAGCCGTACGTTCGAAAATGCTTGGCCAGTTTTAAATCTCTCTGAGAGCTGCGTTAATCTTATTTTACTAAACTTTTCCGTTAGTTTTAGAAACACTTCGTTAGATTTAATTTATATTCAACCAAATGCTGTTAGTTCTTCAACTCCAGGGGGTTTCAATGCGAATTTAATCAGACACAAGTGGTTTGAGCCAAGGCAAGTGTTTGCATTGAGTAACAAGTCTCAGTTGCCAGAATCCTTCCAACGATGTGGGGGGGGGATGGAGACGGGATGGGGAGGGAGGGGTTCATCGTCAAGACGACACTTTTCAGAAGCTAGACCCCCTGAATCAGCAGAGGGGGTCATTAAAAGGGAGGAGGAAGGCTTTAACATGTACCCAAGCATGAAGCAGAAGGGCTCGCAACGGGTAGCTTAAGCTTCCGAAAGACTATTACATTAATATTAGCCATTGTGAGATTTTCTCGGGGAAGGTTGAAATACGGTTTCGAATCAGCGTGTGCGTTGGTTCGATCTATCAAAGTGACTGCATATAGATGGCGTTGCTGTTGAGTTGTCTCTGAGTTGGATGAAGAGGATTTAATGTTTCTAAACTGGGGAATTTTCGCATGGTAATTAGGATTAGAGTCGGATCTTCTGAGAAAAATAGGACCTGCTGCTGGTCGCCGGGACACGAAAGATGCTGCTCGGTTCGAAAGGCCTCACACGCGAGAAAGCCTCGTGGATTTGAATACGAAATGGAAGGGTAAGGCCATTCAGATAGATTGGATTTCGAAAGAAAAATTCAACTCTTGAGACATACGGGTGAACTTTTCTCGAGGACTTTTTCACTAGAAGAAGAAAAATATTAGAAATATCTATAAGTAAGCAGATATTTAACGATATTAGCAAAAAGTTTAAAAAAATGACCAAAACAATCCTCATTGTCACCAACCAATACTTATCAGAGTGTTTGTCATTTTCTGTCTGCTTAAAAAGGTTTGGGTTACTTACTAATTCTGTTGCTTACTAATGACCTGTAAATTGAAATTAAATTTCTCCAAAGACTTCCTCCCTGAATAAAAAAGACTGTCTAAGTAGTATCTAGTGGCTTAATATTACTTCCTTATTATATAATTATTAATTATTTTACTAGTAGTTAATTAATAGTCAAATGAATAAAAAGTTATACAGTGATGATAACCAAGTTATTTTATTCAGATCTATTTATTAATCAAAATTCAATACCTAACAAACTCCGCCTGTGACCGAGGTCCATTTACGCGTCTGATCAAACGTTTAATAAATAACTTAGCTTTTATTTTACCGAACCAATCAGGTTCGAGTCTTAAGAAGATTTGTAGATGAAGGTTCGAGTCCTTAATTTTTTTAGATTTTCTCAATGACCACTCAGAGAAGGTATGACTTCAGCTCACTGTCTCTACCATAAGCAAACCACCAACCCTAGTATTAAATGCTTCACTGCTTATATATGACACTTCTAAATTCTATTTATTATATATCGATAATTCTAATCTAATTTACATAAGTCACATTTCGTTTATTGAGAGATATAAATTCAAAGAACATCACATTAAAGTCCTAAAGTGCTAATAAAAGGGGGAAATGCAATAGAGACGCGTTATAAGTGTAATGGAATACTAGTTAGGCCCTTTTCCGAACTTTCTTGAACGATATACCAGAACATGACAACACAATTCTCTGCATGTACGCAGACGACACAACGATACTTGTAAAACATCAAAAACCAAAAGTAATTCCTCAACAGGTACATATCGTGCCTATAGAACTGGTTTTCCAAATGGAAATTAGCCCTGAATGTTTTAAAAACGGAGGGAGTCTTCTTTGCAAGATCAACAACAACAACCCTCCCTAATATTTTCATAGAAAACAAACAAATTCCTTAGTCTCAGTCAGTCAAGTACCTTGACGTTATACTTGATACAAAACTCATGTTTGAAAAACACGTGACACATATTCAAGAAATATTTCGACTTGACGCGAATAAATTAGTCCCGTTAATTTGTCGAAATTCTACGTTGCTTTGTGACTGTGGGCTATTCGCGCGATTTTCTCTTCACTAACCTTGAAGACTTTAATTGAGATTGATTGCCGGAAATAACAATTTCTTCCCAACCCAAATGAGACGTGATTATGTTAGTTAGATGCAGATGGAAATAAAGTGAAGTGATTTAGATATGACGGTATATAAATAAAGGGAAATTTAGTGGATAGAGGATGAGTGTGGTTAACTCTGAGTGTATCCCTAGTAAGAAATTGATAATATCAAGAGTTGTTACTGGCAGCAACTGTCGCAGGTGATTTGGTAAATCAAGGTAACCTCAACTGGAACGATTTTGGTAAGAACGTATTATTTTCATAATATTTGAATAAGTGGAATAATCCAAAGTCAGTCAAAGAGAGCGAAAATTCTTAAGACATTATATTACAATAATTGATAAATAAATAGTTCAGTTGGAACTGACTGGTGTGTCTTTACATAGGCTATTGACTTTTAGAGTTAGTTATATTCGATTATATTATGGCGCACAAGAGTTGGGTAGAAGCAATGGTACGCCACAACCTATAAAATATAAGATGCTTGTCTATACCCAGGTTCTGCGTCCTGTTATAACTTTCTCTTGTCCTGCCTGGAAGCAAATATATGAAATTCGTCCTAATAAGCTAGAAATCCTACAAAATAATATAATCCGAACTATCGCTCGAGCTAGATGGTTTATGCGAAACGGCGACATAAGAGAGTCACTTAAAATTCAGAAAATCCAAGCATATATCAGCAAAACAACAGATTCCTTTCAGAACTAGATAATATTCAAATTCATATCTACAAGAAATTAAGTTTGATAACCAGATAACCTACAATGGAAAAATTCGAGGAGGTAATATTCCCCAATTAATCTCCTATAGCTATATTCTAAATTGTCCAATACTAAACCCAGACCAGGAATAAATTTTACCCTAACATCCACTAGGAAATCTTCCTCTGACTCCTAGATGCGTAAAGGAAGAAAACCTAACCTACTCAACTGAGACTACCCAGACTGAGCTACTGCTTTCTTATTGAACAGTCGAAATGCACCTTGTACTCCCCAACCCTATGTCAGAAAAGGCTTTCGTATTCACCATGTAATTTAACAATTCTCAAGTAATTTATCTTAAAATTTTTATATTAATTCTTCCTGAAATTTTTAATTTAATTAAATATATTAATTTAATATATTTTAATTAATTTCACACAATAAATTTTTAAAAATGAGAGTCATTCTAATTGTCATAGGCGCTAGGAAATTTGTAAAGTTGAACATCAGATGGGAGTTTAAAGTCCTACAGGGCTAGGTACACTTTCACTACGAACAACAGTCTCCCGCCAAGTGTGAAGTGTGAAGTTTAACATTTGGTTTCTCCATGTTGAGGGGTGCAAAGCAGCCGAAATCCAACGACGATTGAGTAATGTGTACGAACTTCACCACTTTCATGGAAACGGGTTCATATTTAAAACATTATAAACTAAGAGCAAATAGTTGAAATTGTTTCATTCAAAAATGAAAATAATTGGTTATATTGGAAATATAAGTAAGAAAAGAGTTGACTTTTATAATAGACCACAAAAATGTTTCCCAATATTATTTAAAAAATGAGTTAGAATTAAATCATTCACAAATTTCAGTTTTTATGCAGCTGTGACATTTCCAACAATAATCGAAGAATAACATTTAATTGTTGAAAAATACAAATAGCACCATTATATAAAAAATTCGTGGTAAAAATATGTAATAATTTTAAAAATTGTTCTTACAACAAATATTACGGATTTCCTTATCCAATAAAAATTTGAAAAAAAAAAAAAAAAAAAAAAAACCGATTTTAATCATTAGCTATAATTCCGGCATCGAAAACGACATTTTCCGTTGCAGACGATTAAAATTTTTTTGTTCTTAACGGCAATTATTTCGCTTTGAGAAACAACTATACTGTAAAAATAAATATAAACCTTAAATGAAGCTTTATATTGCAACATTTATTGTCTCGGGCTTTGTCATTACGCTTTGATTGCTTTTATTTAAATATCAGGGGAAATGCGAGCTATTTCTATGAATAAGAGATTAAGTGAAACAAGAGCGTA